CAGTTTCTTTCTATCCTGCAGTTCCTCTGGATGAATGGACTTCTTCGGGATGAATGGAACTCAAGTTCTCCGATTTGGTGGCAGGCACCTTCAGCTGCTGAGACTACTCTCCACTCACAGCACCTTATTTCTATGGTGTTGGAGCTCAAGAAGCTCTAGATGAGTTTTTGGAAAGATAACTTCTGCTGCATGAAAATGACTACCAGAATATTTTGTAAAATGAAAATACAGAGTCACCAACATTAAAGGTAGTAGTTAAACCTTTTCTGATCTTTCTCATATCTTGTCCTGATGGGTTTTCTTTGTGTTGGGGGTGGGAGGCTGCATGTGTGTTCACAGTTGTAGTAAGTTAATGTTTTCCTATATACTTGAAGACATTTAGGACACTGACAGAAATTACATGTGGGAACCAGAATACTATCAATTTATGCCAGTATAGAATGCCAATTTTAATTTCAGGTTTCAGTACTTTGTGTCAAATTGTGGAAATAAATTAAATGTGCGTTTGTGTGGGATCTTTCTTTTTTTTTGAGATCATAAGATAATGAAAACATTTCTCCATTCCCTGTCCTCCAATTAATTATGGCAACTTTATTTTAAATACAGAATTCATTCTCTACCTCAGTATTTACCAATACCTCACAATAGAAAAACATTGATGCAAGTCTGTTTTTTGCCCAGATTTGAGACTATGAGGATAGCATTAACTAGTCTGGTTTGTAAGGTAGAGACATGTTGCATAGAACTCTTAGGGTTAACAATTCTTCCTGGAATTCCTAATCAGAAAACAAATAATTAGCTCAATTTCTCACTAATATTAGTGATTAATTTTAATATTTTTTTGCAAGGCATATCCCATGGGCATGGATTGGGCTGTAACAATGTGGATATCCTTCTTAGAAAACATGATGGAAAAACTCATTGTTAATTTAGCATTACACTTGCCTCAGTGTAAAGATTCTTCTTTCTTACTTTGATCAAAGACATAAAAAGTGTTATTCAAAGTGCTTTTTACTTATGCATGCTATAAATGGAAGGAAATTAAAGTGTTTAATATAAAGGAGTAAAGACTGATCAAATCTGCCTCATGCGATTTTCTCAGATCTGTGGGGAATTGCAATTCATAGCCAATCTGCATAAATAACTTTGAGAGACTACAGGGCCTGCTTAATAAATTAGATCCTAAATTATTTCCCACTATACCAAACACATCATTAAAACCCACCAAGTTTTCTTTCCATTTCCTCATGCCAGTCTAGACAACTCTCATTAATGCTGTAATGTTCTTTCGGGCACTAAGGCGCTATGGAGACTAATAAGCATGCATAGTGACAATGACTAACATCTTTGCACAAATTACCCGAATTATTTCAGAAGAAAGCAAGTACCTGGACTTTCTAAAATATATTATATCTAAGACAATGGATAACATCACTTATTATTATTATTTTTTTGTACTGAAGGACCCCATTTCTTGGTCTCCAAGTCTTGCTGCAGGAACTATGATCCACAGGAAATAAGGTCAGAGAACCAGACGGTATAACTTGAGTTGATATACCATGCCAATAAATAGGACTCAGTGCTTTAGAACTGATTTGCATTCACTCAACGTAGGCCAGTCTCTTGAAGAACTTTGCTGATATCCCGTCACTGAGTTCAAGTCTCCCGCAGCACCTTTCATTTATATAACACAGTAATTTTCTATTTATGTGTTTATCCCCACCATATAAACATGTAAATCCAAGTCATAATGTATTTCATGGACTTTATACAGTGTCATTACCAATGCTTCTATTTTTGAATCAGGAATAATCAAAATTAACTTACAAAGTTTAAATGCACTAAAGGTACGCGTATCAATTCTAGTACATTGTTTCACATCTTATTTAATTCAAATTAATTTAAACAATTTCTTTTACTTTTTTCATCTTTGAGAATATAATTACAATATTTTCCCAATCACTTTCATTAATTCTAGCTCTTCCAAATACCCCCTTGCTCTCTTTCAAATTCATGACCTCTTAGTTTATTGTTATTATATAGACATACAAACGGTCACACACACACACACACACACACACACATATATATATATATTCATGTCTATATATATATATGTATATAGTCTCCTCAACTGCATTAATGTAAACTAAGTCCATTAAGGAAGTCCTCAACTTCCCCAAACTTTTAACAGAAAGGAAAAGGCCTCCCTATCACCTCTGTGAAATTGCTATTGAGTTAAAACATTGTTAAGTATGAATCCAGAGATAATGTCACTATCAAGTGTTTTACTTGAAGTTAGAAAAATGAACAAACTGTCAGCTTCTGTATTTTGTTGACTCTTCCAGAATAAAAAATGTCACCTCCGAAGTTATTCCTCATACAACCTGTACTACTACACAGCTCTTTTTTTAGATGCTACCAAAACTGAGGTGATTTTTTTAGAATACAATCTATAATGTATTACAAAAAGGATGGAGCTTGCACACGTATGAACATATAAAGTACAAATAATTTTTAATTGACACTTATAAATTAAATTGATGATCATCTTTATAGTGTGTGATAAAATTCTCTTCTTGCCTTTTCTTTGATGGGAATCACCTTTTAAGATGAAGCCTGGATCTCTGGTATCCCATTATGAACGCACATAATTTGAGGAGACAAGGGAAGCTAGAAACTTTCAGCCCAATTATTAGAAATTCTGCTGTTTCTAACATTCCACATGAGACTGAAAATTATCATTTACTAAAAATATCTGTATATAGTAGCTGGGTTTTATCATGGCATTGATACACAATAGGAGTCTCTCAGTCAACTAGAATTCACACAGGTTTATGGAGAAGTCTTGAAATTGTGTTACTGGCTGCTACATGGTAGGTTATTTTCAGTGAGACTGTTTTTGAGTTCTAAATGAAAAGAAATCTCTGTGCTACCCAGACAAATTTTTGTTGTTGCTTTGAGACTTCATGTCACTATGTAACTATAAATGTCCTTGAATTTGCTGGATAGACTAGGCTGGCATTAAACAGCAATTCTCTTGCCTCTGATTTCCCCATGGTGATAGTGTAAGCACAGGCCATCCCATTCTCTGGAAATCCTGTTAGGTGACCCACTAGTTAGTTAGCACAAAGTATCCCTTACTGAAAAGACAACTTATTGCACTTGTTTTCATGAATTAAAAGTAGTTCAAATATTGGCCAAAAGTTCATGTATAGATTTTGGTGTACATAAATCTGTTTTTCCTCCTTAACTTTATATCTTTATTTTAAATTTCTTCAGATCACTTAGATTTAATGACTATTACTATTAACACATGAAAAAATAATTTCTGTTCCATTTAAATATGTTCGCTGATGGAAACCAGGTTGCCTAGCTACCCATCTGATGTATTGTTAATTCACATCTCTGCCCATGCAGTCTTTTACAAGTGGACATCTATAATCAAATCACATAAAGATACAGATTCAGGTAATTTCCAGGCATGTATCTTTGTTTGTTCATTCATTCGTAGTAGTTTTGGTTTTGTCTTTGAGATAGGATTCCACCTAGCTCAGGCTAGCCTTGAGGTACTATACTATACATCCGAGGATGACCTTGAATTCTTAATCATCTCACTTCAGCTTTCCGTAGTGTAACAAGCTTGTTCCACAATGCCTGACTGTGTTTTCTAGAATGCATCAGAAATCCATTTAGCAGTTCATGGTAGAAAACGATTATGATTTATAGTTAGACAACTTTTATGTACTTCTATATGTCTAGATATAGCTGCAGTTAGATGAGCTAATTTCATTCCTCTGCTTATATTTATCTCTTAACAATAGTTGAGATTCAGAACAATAATTAATAAAATTAAGGTATGGGTTCTAGTAGAACTAAAAAAATAGCAAAAAGCTTTATGTAAAAAAAAAAAAAAGCTTTATGTGTTGAATCCCCAATGAGGTTCCTCTTAGAGAAGGTGGGACCCATTACTAACTGATATGTGTTGGGAGAGGGAAAATCAGTTCTCTTTGAGGTTGTGCCTTCTCCTGGTGTTCAGTAGGTGACTTCAGGGCCACAGATTTATCAGTCCTGATTGGACTTGATGAGTTTACAAAAACAAAAGGAATGGGAATGCAAAATTGGCTTTGTTTGGAAAGAGCTCTAGATATGGGAGGAGATGGGAGATGGTTACCATTATGATCAAAATACAAGGTACAAAATGCTCAGAGAATTAATATTTTTGCCAATATATTAGCATAATTTATAATTTAAGATGAGTTTAGTCATTGTTTTCCTCTTTTTTATTTTGGTAACAAACATTTTCTAAGGTGATACTATAAATTTCAGATAAACTTAATTCAATATCAGTAAAACTGACTGCTCTGACAAGATCGCTTGGCAAATGTTAGGAGCATGGGGGTGGGGATGGGGTAAGGGGAAGGGGATGGGGGAGAGAGAGGAAAGAAGGGGAGGGTTGGGGAGAGCTTGGGGGAGTGGGATGTTTGAGATGGAGGAAGGGTGGATATGGGAGCAGGGAAGAAGATATCTACATTAAGGGAGTCATTTTAGGGTTGGCAAGAGACTTGGCTCTAGAGGGGTTCCCAGGTGTCCACAGGTATGTCCCCAACTAGGTCCTTGGTCAGTAGAGGAGAGGGTATCTGAACTGGCCTTGTCCTGGAGTCACACTGATGAATATCTTGAGGCTCCATTCTTATTAGTGACTACTGTCAATAAAGGAAGTTTGTGAGGGACTATTCCTCTGGTCATAGTGGATAATCTTTTTAATACTTGTCCACATTTGATTTACAAATATTTTGCTGAACACTTTTGAATCTATGTTGATTATAATAACAAATAAAATATAATTCCTACCAAAACTATGCTGTTCTCTAACATCCATGTGTGTATAAATATCACGCACACACATGCATGCATGTACACATACACAGAAACACAAACACAGACTATACACATATTAATAATAACAAAAAGTAAAGCAGCTTAGTAGACTCACTTACCCTTGTCCCAGGAGTTGACAAACTTCATCTGAAATCTGTGCAGTCCAGTGCTCGGCACAAGCGACATGCCAAACACTATGGATTTTGAACTGTACCAAACCATTGTTGTTCATTGTGCCATTGAGAAACCTCACTGAAAATGCAGAGCATAGGATGTGGTTACATGAAGACATGGAGTGGGGGCTGTGTGGAAATATTGGTTAAAGGAAAACATCTCATCCAGACAGAGGAAGTAAGTTATTTGAGTCCAAGTGTACAGTAAAGATATGCTAACTACGTGCTTTTAAGTTGCTAAAAAATAAATTTAAAACTGTATCATTACAAAATAACTAAATGTTAGGGGTGCTATGTAGAATTATTAGCTAGGTTTATTCCACATTGTATGCATGAAGCGTAATATCACTTTGCATCCCCTAAGTAGTTATAATTTTAGAATTTCCAACCACATTCTTGAAATACCATTAAGTAAGTAGAGATATATAAAGGTTATTGGATTATACATAGGGTCATTTTGGTTAATTTCATAGAAGAATAATGGTCTTCACTAAAATGTGCTCATTCCAAATAATTAGATATTAGCAATTGGTTGTAACTTTTTCTGAAGAGTATCTTGGAAGATATATGTTGAGAAATAGAAATTTAGTTGACATAATTTTCTCCAAAAACAAAGCTAAAATAACCCAAGTATCTTCGTGAAAAGAGATCTCCTAGGAAAATTGGGAGCATGGGAACCATGGGGGAGGGTTGGATGGGGAGGGGAGAGGCACGGAAGGGTGCAGAGAAAAATGTAGAGCTAAATAAAAGTCAATAGAAAGAAAAAAAAAAGACATACCACAGTCTTCTTCATCTGAGCCATCAGCACAGTGTGTGTGTCCATCACAGAGGTTCCCCATTGGAATACACTTTCCATCTTTACATTGAAATTCTTCATCCTGGCAGGGCTCTGTTTATTGTTGAGGGTAAGAAAATCACGGATTGATGGTTTCTGAGTACCAATTCAATTTATACACCTTTAGACTTCAGAATTCAGTTTAGCATGTGGGTGGAAGATGTTCCAATGTTGAAATATTTGAAACTTTAAATGAGTTTGGTTATAATGTGGCTTTAAACAGATCAAATGTTGGTCATCTGTTTTGCAAACGTGCTTTGAGATTGATCTTAAAATTAATTGATCTGAGAGCTCTCAAATACAGCTGGGAGATAGTTCCCTCAGAGAGATTTATTTTATTGTTTTCAAAGGAAGAGCTTTATGTTGGGAAGAGAAGAGGAACTCTGTTCAGGGCACATATGATGTAGATCATCTGAGAATGGACTGTTGTATATGGAGATACTGAGCACCCCATGCTCTGTGGTATAGTGACATTCCCAAAGAAGAAACAAAGAACTTGGTAACAAAAGAAGCAGCAAGACCTCTACTTTGAAAACAACTAATAAATATAAATCAGTATCATGACTGTATCATTATATTAAACTTGGATAGATTTCACTTAAGTCACAACTTAAAAGGATATCAGAAACAAAATATTCTCCATGAAAATTTTCTTATTAAAAGTTACTCATAAATAAACTATTTGTCGAATAAATAAATATCTAATATATCAACCATTGATATACTAATATTATTATATTATACATTATTAATATAATATAAAATATAATATTAGTATATTAAATGTTGATATACATTTACTATTTACTTCTATGGCAAATAGTGTGTGTATGCAAACACAGATATGATACAGTGTCATTAATTAGAAATCCACATAAAACAAAGGTAAGTATTGACCTTTGGGCAAAGATAATGAGAAGTATAGATAATAAGTTAATCCTGTATTTGTTCGAGAAACAATTGCTCTGCATTTGCTGGTTTAATAGCATTTGAGAATGGTGGAGTGTTATCTTTACTGATTTTTTTCAAAATGTATTAGAAAGTTTCCTACATGTGCAAAGCTCCAACATCTCTACTCTTCTTTGTTTATTTTCTCTCCTTACAAGTTTTTTTTTTTCCATCATAGTCATGGCTGGTTACTCCCGTATTGTTTGTAGCACTGGTCATCCAGTTTGTATAGCTTGCCAGACCATTCTCAGGGTTTATTTATAGTGACCAAAGGTAGAGTTCTTGAAAGAGATCATTTTAACTAGGAATCTAGCTTTGAGACTCAAATTTGAGAAGTGTTAAAAATTGCTACTTTTTAAAGGAGGGATTTTACAATTAGTTCTTCAAAGATTTCATGCAGGGGGCTGGAGAGATGGCTCAGTGGTTAAGAGCATTGCCTGCTCTTCCAAAGGTCATGAGTTCAATTCCCGGCAACCACATGGTGGCTCACAACCATCTGTAATGAGAGCTGCTGCCCTCTTCTGGTATGCAGACACACACAGACAGAATATTGTATACATAATAAATAAATAAATATTTTAAAAAAAGTTCATGCAATACGTTTGATTATATTCACTAACCACCCTATTGTTGATAAAATTCCCGGCCCTTTCTACCCTACTTTATGTTCTTTATCTTTTGTATCCTTTAAGACCAATCTGTATACATATATTAATCTTTTTGAGACTTAGTATTTTTTGTTTGTTGAGTTAGAATTAGTTCTACTTATCATAAGAATAAATAAATAAATAAATAATGTACCTGGCTTGCCAATATGTGTGAACTTGCTGTCTAATAAATGGTATTAACAGCAAAAATAGGAACATTATTAAAAGTTCTATTTGGGAAACCGATGGCAGAATCTGTAGATCTATCTGGCAAACAGGCTGCAACTGACTTGAGATGTCTCCTTCTTTATACCTTAGTCAGAGAAGCTTGTGTTTTAGCAGGCAGTGGTTATAATAGTTTCGTGACTGGTCAAATTTGTGAGAATGTGACTGGAAGTGTTCAATCATAAATATTCCTGAACCCTCAAGAAACACCCCAGAAAGTAAAGAATGCAAGAACAAAGGATACAGAAAAGGTCCCTGAAATGCTATCTTCTTGACTAACACGGCTGTTGCCCTCACAAGCTCATAGCATCTGTGATCACTTGCACAGATCTACACAAGAACAAGTGAGTCAACACTCTATCATGAATGGTGGAGTCATTCATGAGTCACTATCCTTATCTCGGGGTCTATTAGAGGCTGATGGCTGTTAAAGAAAGGACACATGTCTGCATACACATACATAACTAACTAAGCAAATACAAAATGAATAAAAACAAAAAGTGGGGGTATCATGTTGGAAGGGGGAATTGAAACAGGGAAATGCAGATGGATATGATAAAAATGCATTTCACATGCATCTGTGTGTATATATGAGTCTCAAAATTAAGTTGTTTAAAAATACAAGCTTTAAAAATATCTTTCTTTCTTCCTTTCTTTCATTTTTCTCTTTATTTCCTTATACATGGGTGTGTTCTGACAGTGAGCTCTGAAAAGTCTCTCTATCACATTATTCTTGTTCTCTGCTCTACTTCTACTATTTTTCTCTCCAAATAAAAAGAAGATCAGGAAAATATGTCTGATCATTATCCCTTGGTAGCAGAAAACAGTAATTGGATAAATTTGTCTATTTTAAGCTTTGAAACATTCTATATTTTAACCAAAATCTAATTTACCTTAATAAAGATATTTTTAGGAAGTTACAGCTGACTGTTTCGGCAAATTTTTATATCAGGAGAAAAGTAGGTTATAGAACTAAAAACATAATATTATTAGGGAGGTTCTAGTAAATGTAATTACCAATTTATTTCACAAACACATATTTTTAAACAGATTACTGAGATGACAAATGGCCCCAAATGATTGTATTTTCTACAAGGAAGCATAAACATCTTACTGGAAAGATTTCTCTTTCTTCTGAAGACTATCATTATTTAACTTTCCTTTAGAAGATAGGAGAACTTCAAAATAGATGCACCCACATAAATATATACTCTATAACAATATATATTTCAGCATATATTAATTTTATAACATAACTGTACTAGTTTCAGACCTATAATTGAATATTTTAATATAATCCATTATGGATTATTGTTAAATTATTTATTATATTTTCCATAGCTATTATAATCATTATGTCAAATGAAGTTACAGTGACAGTACTTATTTGTGGACACATTTATTGTTAGTGTTGCTTTTATTATTGTGATCAAGTTATAGTCAGTTGGAAAGGCACATGTTAGTTACAGTAAGTATAAGAATCAGTATAAAATTTTGAATGAAAACATGTTCCCTGTCCCTGTCTGAAAATGATAATTTGTTGTCTTTCTGTAATCAAAGCTGTTAGGATTATACTTGTAGACCCAGAAAAGAGAACTAGCTCAGAAGGCAAAAAAAAAAAAAAAAAATTGGATGAGAAATTACAGAGTGGTAAAAATGGCATATTCTTGCTGAGGTGTTTTGATATTATAAAATTTTAGGAGGTATGCATAAGCTATTTCAAAACTTTCCATATATGTATAATCATGATTTTTATTTTTTGGAATATATACTATTTCAGGTTACTAGGAAGTCTTTAATACAATAATTTATTCCTTCTGGAGCCAGAAATCTTATTTCTGATAGTTTTATGCCCATGGTGAGAGAAGAAAAAGGTAATATTATTCAGAATTGAATTTCCCCATCTTCTCTTTATGAAGTCTCTATAGCCCTGCCTCATTTAGTCACCATATGCTTGGTTTTTTAAAAGAAACTAAATTGGTTTCTAAGGCACACACCACACAAGATGGGGAGGGCTCTAAGGCCCTGAGTGTAACCAGGTGCCATTTGTGAGTTGGATTTATGCTCTAATGACTTCCACGTGAAGACTCAGAGAATCAGAAACAAGCAATGGGAACACATTCATAAGAGACTTAGCATAATAAATATCTACTGTGAATACTCAAGTTCAACGTGACTAGGAATTATTAAAAAGGACAAATAAAATAAAATATGTTTCATAACTTACTTAAAGCAAAACTTTCAAGATATTCCTAAAATATCTCAGAAGACAAGAAAGTGTTTAAACACTGGAAATAATTTTTAGCGTATTTTTCCACAATGTTTCTGAAATGATTGCCAAAGCAGAACACCAATATAAAGAGGAATGTGTACCCAACCTCATATTCATTACTGGCTTGATTATCTTCTTATGCCAAATCAATGTTTCTATAACTGCATTTCAGTCTTTTGCTATTAAAAACATTTTGATAAAAAAAAAAGACTACGTGGAAGACAGCTGGGTCACTGAACTTCTCTTTCCCAGAAGACTGTCTTCTAGGTCCAAGAGAAACAGCAACTCCCAAGTGAGTCATTTTTCATGCAGTGATGTTCTGTAAGAGATCCCTCTATCTTGACTCAAAAAAAAAAAAAAAAAAAAACAAAAAACATTCTCTTAAAAACAAGATGCTCATGACCAAAATCTAGCTCTAGGGCAAACCAAAGGCAAAGAACCCCTTCATATCATCATGTATGTTCGTTTTATTGGCTGCATTAAACTACGTGATTTGGGTTACTTTCTCCCACGTAATTTTTTTGTGGTATTTTTCAAAATACTTGATACTTTATTTTTCAAGAGTAAGAACCATATAAAAATCAAGAACTAATCATTTGGATGAAGAGATGTTTGTTCTCTTACACAATATCTACTATTTTAGTTTCTTTTATCTCTTGATTTTAAAATAGGAATGTAAAGACCTGTGACTTGTATGAATTTTGTACTTATAGTTTTATATATGAAAGAATGTTCTACAATGATTTCAATTGCTTAGATTTAATAACAGACCCACTCTCCTACAGGTTGATATATAGCTTTAAAAAACTAAATTGCTTCAGATGGGCTTTATTATTTATTTACATTTTTGAAAAGCAAGCAATTATTCTATAAAAGTTTCTTGTCATGACAAAATTTGTGAAAACATTGAGATGACTAACCTGCTGTGAGGATAAATACCTTTGTGCTAGCTATTTTCTTGTTCCCTTGTATAATATTCTGTATGTCTGCACATTTAACTATGCTATACCAAATACAGACAATATGTCATCCTTCTTAGCATGTACACAGTAACTAGTCTCATAAAATACAGACAATATTGTTATCTGTGCACTTTTCATTGCATAGTATTTTTTTTTGTCTTCAAACTTGATTTTATTGAGTTTTACATTTTTCTCTGCTCCCTTCCCTGCCTCTCCCCTCCCCTTCAACCCTTTCCCACGGTCCCCATGTTCTCAATTTACTCAGGAGATCTTATCTTTTTCTACTTCTCCTGTAGATTAGATCTATGTATGTCTCACATAGGGTTCTCATTGTTTTCTAGGTTCTCTGAGATCGTGATTTGTAGGCTGATTTTCTTTGCTTTATGTTTTAAAACCACCTATGAGTGAGTATATATTATAATTGTCTTTCTGGGTCTGGGTTACCTTACTCAAAATGATGTTTTCTAGCTCCATCTATTTGCCTGCAAATTTCAAGATGCCGTTATTTTTTTTTTTTTTTGCTGTGTAGTACTCTGTGTGTAAATGTATTTTAATCCTAAATTGATTGTTATTAATTTTAAGTTTTCATCAATGACCCTGAAGATATATATTCTCTTTGCTTTTCTGCGTAAGTTATATTTTAATATCAACTCTGACTTCATAGAATCTTAGTCTCTCCTCTTCCCCTGCTACTATCTCTTCCCTCCATTAGAACAAAATCCCTTATGGTTCAGGCTTGTCTGGAACTTAACATGCCATGAAAGAGATAGACGGACTTTTAAATTCTGGTCTTTGTGTCTTTCTTGGGTCCTTTTCCTTGTGTTTGTTTTTTACTATTCCAATGAGCAGTTTTGGCTTTATCTTATTATACTTTAATTCATTTTATTATTGTCCCATTTTATAGAAGCCCAGAGGTGAGGAGACGGGGGAGTGGAGACATTTTCATTCCTCAGATAAAGCAGGTTCATTTGCCTCCACCAGTGGCTATGAAGGGCTCTTTCTCTATTTGCCCCTTGAACTCAGGTATTGTGTAGTTTGATCTCTAGCTAGTGATTCTTCTTTGGAAGGTTCTGGAAATTTTAGGAAATAGAGCTTAGCTAAGGGAAATAGTGAACTGGTGTCATATCTTGTTTTAGGAGTCCCTTCCCCACTCTCACTCTATCCTCCCTTCCACCGTCTCTCCGTCTCTCTGTCATTCTCCATTTCTGCCTTTCCATCATAAATTAAGTAGTCACTACTGTATGCTTCCACAAACACCACATTCTTCCTTCTTATGGGCTCAGAATCTAAGTGGCAAGGACTGTGGACTGACTGAAGTCTCAGAAACCTGAAAACAAGCAAATTCTTGCTCTTTTAAATTGACTTCTCAGGTTTCTGAGCACAGTGATGGATAGCCGCTTATGAGGACAAATTGCTTTTGTCTGGGGTGGAAAAGTCATTCTCTGGATTTATCCAATCTAGATACTTTAAAGCATTTAATATATAAGTATGCTCATCTGAGAACAAATATGTCTACATATGGCTAATACTTAGTCAAGGTAGTAAGCTACATTCCTCCACAGCCTCTGCATCAGATCCTGCCTCCAGTTTCCCTTCTTGTTTTCTCTGTATGATGAACTAGGAATTATAGGGTGAAATAAACAATTTCCTCTGAAAAAAAAAAGTAGCCTACTCCTATTAAAGACAGGTACCATGATATGCCAGACTTATGTGTATGTATATATATACATTTTATATACATACAAAACACAGACACATTATATATATATGCATACACACATACAGTTTGCTAATCTCAGTAATTGCTTGTTTTGTTTGATTTATATCACTGTTTCTAAGTCAAAAACAGCTGCTTCTAAATCAGATGGGAGATTAGTTGATTGGGTTTAAAGCCAACCCTTCCTAAGTAGCTTTCATAATTAATTTTGTGGCTTATTGTTGGGGCTAGAGAATGACCATAAAACTGAAAGCAGGCCACTTCCTGCGACAAAGTCAACAACTTCAAGCCAACTGTGAGCAGTAGAGAAACAGCTATAAGCATCATTTAACCACACAACAGGATTTAGCCTTAGATAATAATCTAGAAGAAAGCAATCATGGAAAAATTCCTCTTCTGAAGGATGATTTGTATCAGAGAAAAAATGTACTGAGGAGTAGGTCAGCATAAAGTAAGTCAGAACCCATGTAGAATCACAAGGACAAATAATTCAAAAAATTAAAATATCATATGTATGGGAGAACATACATACTTTGTGTATCCCTCTCTAAACCTGTCTGTCTCTGCTGTCTCTGTGTTCTCTTTCTCTCTCGCTGTATATGTGTTTGTTACAGTGCTTTGCTTTTTCCTACTGTTAAGGTTAGGGATTTGGTAAAGTACACAATAAGCAGGCTTTAATGCCAACAGCATTCAGTGTTAAGCTCCTCCACTGCAGTTGTTTTATTCTGGCTGTTTCTAACAAGTTAATGATGTTTAATTTTTTAATTGGGTGTCTCTGGCATCCAGCAGTTCAGTAGCTCGTCTCCCTCCTTGTCTCTCGGTAAGATCTTGGAAAAGTGAAAATTCTCTCCTCACAGAGCCAATTACTTTACTTTGAACTTCATTTTAAATTTTTACTTCAGTGAATAGAAGGCAAGGTTCTTAATAGAGAAGTACTTGATATGCAAAAAATGTTGCGGATTCCTGCTGTGAAGAAACTCACATAACCATTACACATAGAAAGAGGAGGGACAAAAACCTATACTACTCTGAGAAAGACAAAACAGTATATCAGAATGCAAGCGTTTACAATGCGATTTGCTCTTGAAAAAGGTTTCACCATCCTTGGTTTGTTCGTATAACTGTGCTGAGGTGTGCACTATTTCTTACCTGGGATGCCCAAGTAATATCCAGTAGTGAAATTTGCTTTGAAGCCCCTGCTTGCCGTTATCCTGCTTGTGATGAAAAGCACAGTCATCCTGTTGGTGGTGGAGAACACGTCCTTCACAGGGCCAGGCCCTGTATACACAGCTGCCCGCAGAAGAAAAGAGACTGTGAGGTGTTGGAATCTCAGCGATACCTGAAGAATTTTATCTCCATCTTCTAGAGGAAGGACTAAATGCAGCATGACTCACCAAAATTAAGCCCACAGTCTAAGAGTTTAGATGTTGATTTTTAACTGCTTTATCTATTAGAAGTAGAAAAACACTTCTGGAACAAAACAGTTTTGGTGTGGGAAGTCCTGTACATGTGTTTCTTTAATTGATTAACGAATAAAGAAACTGTTTTGGCCTGTGATAGGGTAGAATAGAGCTAGGTAGGGAAAACTGAACTGAATGCTGGGAGAAAGAAAGCATAGTCAATGAGATGCTATGGATCCACCAGCGTGGAAAGATGTGAACTGCCAGCTAGAACCTTGTTGGTAGGCCACTAGCCTCATGGTAAAATAAAAAATGAAGAAAATCAGTTAGTTGTATATGTAAGAGCTAGCTAGCAATACACTTAAGTGATTGGCCAAGCAGTGATTTAAATAATACAGTTTCTGTGTGGTTATTTTGGGGCTGAGCAGCTGGGAACAAACAAGTGGTCTCTTACAAGACAATTTCTATCTGAAAATTACAATATAATTTAGTTATTCTTCTATGATTCCTACTTATCAGAACTTATTCTGTTGATTTATGTGAATAATTATAAGTAAAACAATAAATTAATATTTTTTTGATCATATAAGCAGTATTTTTAATAGGAACACTTTTAACTGAAAATGAAATAAAGCAACCATTTAAAATTTGTTGACAAATGTGTATACTGATCCAGTTGAATGTTCCCCAAGTCTTGCTGGTCCCCATAGGATCACTGCTGATTTATTCAGTGTGTGACTCTGACAATTTCTTCCAGAAAGCTGTGTTCTAAAACTTTGTGGGATTTTGCTGGTATGTCTGGGGAATTCTCACTATTATGCTAGTCTTTTGAGGTTGGATTCTCATGGTGAATTTTCCTTCACTTGTCACACGCAATTTTTATATAATAGTTCCATGTTTTAAAGATCTTCAGGCCAGAATTTATACTTATCATGAATTAAGTCACAAATACAGTTAGATAAAACCCTTTTTGTGCTGAGAAACTATAGTTAGTTCATACTTCTCAGATGAACATTTAACCATCTTCCTAATTTAATATTTAATTTACCTTACCAAAAGCTAGTTCTTTCTTAAAAAGTAATGTTTAAATGATATAATATAATCTTATGTTCATTAATAACTTTTAAATATGCTAACATGTATTTGGTTATCCAGACAAAAATATTTCTCATGTATAATAAAAAGTAATAACCAACAGAAACAGTGAAAAATAAATATTGGCTAACTTTTGTATCTTTCTAAGCTGTTAAGAAGTAGATGCTGAACATAGTGGACAATGAGGACTACTGAGAACTCAAGAACAATGGCAATGGGTTTTTGATCCTACTGCACGAACTGGCTTTGTGGGAGCCTAGGCAGTTTGGATGCTCACCTTACTAGGCCTGGATGGAGGTGGGTGGTCCTTGGACTTCCCACAGGGCAGGGAAACTTGATTGTTCTTTGGGCTAATGAGGGAGGGGGACTTGGTTGGGGGAGGGGTAGGGAAATGGGAGGCAGTGGCGGGGAAGAATCCGAAATCTTTAATAAATAAAAAATAAAAGCACAACTTGACATGTTTTAAAAAAAGAAGTAGATGCTGCTACAAGCAATAATAAGCAAAACAATGTCCAAATATAAAATAAAATGACTTAAAATCCTGACTAACAACAAATATTCTAGAAGAGTATATCATGTCACCATTGCAAAGATGTCCCATAAGAATACCAAAAATTCTCTGGGAGGACTTGGCAGAGGAAAGATCATGATCAGAATACAGTGTATGAAAAGAATCTATTTTCAATGAGCCAAAAATATCCAACATGTGACTTTGCTGCCATATATTCATTTTGCCAGTGGTAAAGTTCTGACATCTGCTTCCACATGCTGTCTCTGTGTATCAAGTGTCTTGAGTTACACAACTTTCAGAAGACTCAAATTTCAGTCTTACCTAAGAGTAAGGAGTCAACTTCTCCCCCATCTCTCACTTCAACCACATCATTGATGCTTTCCAACTCAAACTCTTGAAAATGAAGTTGGATATTTTTTCCCTTCTGTGCATTTAAATTCCATACACCTTGAAAATAATAAATAGTGATGATTAATTTACAGCCTATATCTTTGTATCTCGACTAAGTATCTACAATCTTATTTATTTTCATTGCTTTATTTTGTTTTGAGCTAGGAAAAGTAATACATTGGTTAGATCTTAAATATATGTTGTCATAATTAAATAAAATTTGATATAAACTCATTATTATTAAATTTATTTTATACAAAATAATAAATACTTTATTGGCTTTAAATAGCCACTTTATACTGTAGTGCAGTTTAAGAATATCAATAGGTATTAATAATCTACTTTAATTCACTTAAATTTCTTTATTTTTGTTTGCATTTTGTGTGTGTGTGTGTGTGTGTGTGTGCAGTTGAGTCCTACCTAGGCATGCACATGGGTAAAACATGGCTATTTCCCAGACCATGCCTCCTGAATTGCAATCTTTGTAAAACTGGATGGAGAATGTGGATTTGTAATGCAGATTACACAGTCTTCAGATAATCGTCATGAGTCTCTCTATGGAATTACACTAGCCCAGAGAGAACTTTTGTACAATGTTTTGTAGATTGCTTTCTCTAAATTTAGATATTTCAGCAGCTTGCATTATTCTTTTATTGATTCTAGGAGTCTAATCACATTCCTCTGGCTGTATTGTTCTTCAAGTCTAGTATGTGTTTTCTAAGGGGGAAGGTATTACGTTGACTTTGCGCTATGAAACTGCAAGTTTGCTGTACGTACTCCAAGGATTATGTGTGAGCTAGGAAAGTGATGAAAATATCTAGAGCCAGGGTGACTGCATCAAGGGCATTACTTTCATGTTTTTATTCTGAAATTACAATAGTAAAAAGTGCTATGAAGAATGATTGTGAGACTAGATTGAAACCATGAAAAGTGAACACCATTGCTTTGACTCACTTAAAAACTTTGCAATGAAAAGTAGGCCAGAAATCTAAAAGAAATCAGGGAAGGGTTTGGAGGGAGGAAAGCAAGACAGGGGAAACGAAGTTACAAATACTGTCAAATATGAAGGAAATAAGAAAGAAGTAATATTTCTTAGTAGGAATGCTACTGTGTCCATTTTGACAAATTCATAATCTATTTCTCTATTCATGAGGGGAATAACCTTGTTATATACATTTTTCCTTGATAAGATGAGCAAGAAAAGACTCACAGAAAGCTTGATTAGGGTAGGTATCTGGAAAGTTGGGAGAACTGAATGTTGTGTTTGGCTCCCATAATTCAAAAGGTCCTCCGCAGTCAGCTAAAATGGATTAAGAAACAGTTATTAACAACACCATGCCTATTCCACAGATATTTTCTTAGATGCCAAACATTGTAAAAACACATTTCCTAGAATACTAGTTTTGACAGATTGATTTTACAAACTGTATAAGTTGTTAGGAATACATGTTAGTACATTGGTGTTTTTAGTAGAAAAGTTCCCAAAAGCTTTATATTCTTACTTCCTTTATAAGTTTCAAAAGATTATAATAGTGTTTACGATTGCCCATATTTATTTGACCAATGGAAATATTTTGTTAAGTATATAAGAGAAAATCATATCTGCAGAAAAATGTGAATATTTATAAGAGAGAAAATGCCATCCCTGCTCTACCATCTAGAAGTAGAGTCAGTGCAGGTATGTCATTGATCTAGCAATATAGACTTTTTGATCTTTTATTATTAAGGTATTGGGTGGAAATGATGCTCAACATTGAAGTGTGTGGTAGTCAGGAAGGGAGGAGAAACACTTTCTCTTCCCGTTTATAATTCTGAGGAAATCATGCTCGTGCACATCTGTGATCCAAGATCTTAGAATATGGAAGCAGGAGGATCTGGAATTCAACCTTCCTATATTACATGAGAGCACACACACAACCTTTCCAAACAAAAACAACAATTCTTGGTTTTCTTTTCTGGTTAGATATGTTACTCAACATTTTGTCATAGTTGAGATTCCCAGGGTTTAGTTAAATTTTATTATAAAATAGAGCCTACATCTTCTAGTTCTATGATTAGGTATACTAACATTCTAATATACTGAATGTATGTTTTCTTTTTACTAATTATGAACAAATATAAAACAGTTTAAGATTTTATTGACTGTTTTAGGGACCCCAATTTTAATACTCGCTACCATTTAAAATGATATATTTATATGTAAAAATGATTTCCAAAGTTTAAGATGCCTGGCTAACTGTATGAGGATTTTCCTTTTAGTGAAGGCATATAAGGTTAGGATTTTTTTAATACTCAGTAAATTAGAAATTGAAATTGAGAGAGGGCAAATTAGACTATATCCATGCAGAGCTTCAGTCATATGTTCTTTCTAGTAATTTTCTATACATATCATCAGTCTTCTTTACCTAAACCACTTGAACATCTTCTGAGCATGTGCATGTATGTCTGTGTATGTGAGATTCTATGTGTATGTCCATGCCTTTGTATTTGTGTGGTTTCTATGCATAAGCATGTGTGCATGTGTGTGCATTTATGAGAGTGTGAAAACACAAGTGTATGACTGTGTGTTTGTGTATGAATGTGTGTATTTGTATATGTGTGTGCTATGTGAATGGGTATAGTATAAATTTGTCTGTATTTGTACATAACATATTTGTCTGTGTGCAGTTGAGAATGGGTATGTGCTTATGACTGTATATTTGCGTGAGTACAGATTCAGGCATGTGTACAATATATTCGAGCTTAAATCTCTATGTATTATATTCATACGTGTGAATGTGTTTGTTTGTATGTATTATGAGTATACGTATACTTATATGTGAACTTGCAAATGTGTATTTGTGGATGTGTGTATATATATGAGTGCATGCACATGTTTGCCTATGCTCACTGTGTTTCAGTTCTTAGGTGTGCACATGTGCACGTGAATGTGCGTAAGTACTTGTGTATGTATATATGTGTAAATGTGTTTGTGTGAGTTCATGAAAGTTTAACTATATGTGTTTGTGTTTATCTGTTTAAATGTGGATATGTGTGCACGCATGTCTGTGTGAATATGTTTTATGTATTCATAGGTTTGTTGTGTGCACATGATTCTTATGGGAAGTTCCATAGACTGATGAGGCATGACTCTAGAAACTGCATTCGTGCTATGCTGTTAGGGAATCGAGGCCTGCACATACAATGGGAGTAAAACATCCTGACTGGCTTGGAGGGTCTGTTCATTGACAGAGTTGGATTCTCACTTTTAATATTCCTAGGTGCTGTTATTTCAAATGTTTGTAATTTGATTAATCTCTTTTTATGCCATAGAAATCTCTACTGTACCCATGATGTATTTATGTAGCATTCTCTAAGGGAGTCTTCACAGATGGAGTTATGTCCTTAAGAGATTCTGCTTGTAACCTCTGTTTAAGGCTGACATTTATAAGGTTTGTGTATCCCAGAGGTGGCAAAGAGGAGAGCTCAATCCTCTCATAGAAAGTTTGAATTTAACACGTGGAAAAAACAAGATAAGAAATGAAGACATAATTTCAATTACTGATAGGCTTTTGACTGTTACTTATTTATGGGGGAAATAATATATGTAACTTGAGAAACAATTTAAATCACATTGAATTTAGATGAAATTAATTTTAGTATTCTCAATTGTTATCTATTATTTTAGTAATACACAATAAATTTTTAATATTATATTGAACATGGTAATAAGTTTAGGTCCTAATCTGAAATTACATCTCCTGTGAGAATTTGGGGTCCAACTTTTAAAAATTAGTAGTTTTAAGACATTTTTGTAGCTATTCATAATGTATATATTTTCATCAAACTTGTAACTAATTAGTTTAAATGTTTATTCGTGAATATTAAATTTTATTTGTTCTTAAAATAAAGTTAACCAATGATAATACTAAATGAGGCTACTTGTTGTAAAGGTAAAGCAATGAAAACAAAAGAAAGTAAGAAAAAGTTCTTTGGTGAAGGATTCTATTAATGCAATTAAGACCTGTGTGTGCTAGGGGTTGAATATTAGGTTGGACAAACACCACAGATTTCTGTTCTGCAGGGAAAGGCTAAGAAAGCATAAATGTAGACTAATTCCCATATGGAGAACTTGTCAAGTTGTTTAGTAACGTTTTTCAAACTAGCTCACTGTGTGTTAAGACATGAAAAATGGCTTACTTACATCAGGAAATGATAGAGGAAAAAAAAAAACCTTAGAATATTAAAATGGTTAAAGCCAGTTTTTCTTAATTAGTTGAGACTCTCAGAAATTACCCAGGAGCTGAGTGCTGAATTATTTTGCCTACACATACTGTACTTTGTGAGGGAGTCTCAGAATTGGTTTTCAAATTAATATGATGTTTGTTTAACAGAATATTAGCTTTTGTAAACTTCTTCAAGTAGAGAACTCTTATTGAAATTAATTGTATCAACATCACTGGCACCATCCTGAAGCTGATGGAACAGAGACTAAAGTGACATGGTTGAGGAATCCCTGCAGTTGTGAATATTCAGAAAACTAGACCCAACAATATTCTCAGGAACCGAGTAGGTACACGGTCTGATTATTCAAACACTTGTCTGAGATTTCTTATTTAACTACTCTGTAAAGAGAAAGAGAAAGGTTTTAGCCAGTCAACCATGGTTTCCCTTTAGTTTTGCTTAAACAACTCAGTGATCTGGAATCAGAATAGCTCTGCACAGATAGGACTTCTATTGACCCATCTGCAAAAGGCATTAGAAAGAAATTGTTCAAGATGCGTTGGACGGTAATTAACATTTCCGCTGTGCTAAACATTGGCTCAAAGTGAACCACTTAGAAAGTGGAACAAACACGTTCTGGGCAAATTCTAAATTTATATCTTAAAATCCCATGGGTTATTCTAAAAGTACAATTTCCCCAGTGCTAAAACATGCACAGATGCTAAGCTTCTGTGCACTGAGATATTGTGACTTTTCTTTTACTGACTAGAATAGATATGATGATGGTACACATAATATTGATTTTAACATGGACAACAAAGTTGTAATCATTTATTTTATGTATGATAATATAAAAGCTATCTTAGATTTTAAAATTTAAGAAATGTGATTTGTCTAGTATTTTAAATATGGAGCATCTGAGATTGTACTATGGAAACTTAGAAGTACTCATCAAACTAGTAGTGATTTTAAGAATTGCTAACATAAAATTGTGCATAAAAATGTTTTATGCTATAAATTTAGAGGGACCACAGAGAATGTAAGAGTACCGCCATATTCAAATGCCACAAAGCCCAAATTACTGCATTCATATTGGTATTAACCCAAAAATCTAGTTCTAATGGCCAGAAGAGGAATATGACAAAATATCAGGATAGCAAAAGAATTCTCAGTGCATATTTATTAATATTTACGGGTTACTGATTCATATGACACTAGAAACCAGGCAGATACAGTGAATTACAGCTAGGGTAGAATGATAGACATTGGTGCCGAGAAGTACACCTGTGAATCTGCTTAGTCTCAGCAGACGTGAAGTTCATTCCCAGCACTGGAAAAAAACAAAACTTCTGCCTTTAGTGGACTTTATAGCAGTATTTTATTGTCTGTTCATCAGGGTTCCTACCCCTCTCTCTTTCATATTTCTGAGTGCCTCATTTATTCATACATTTCTTTAATTAAATCTTGTCTACTTCACACATTAACCATGAATAGTACACTGTTTAAAATATTTGTTTTCCTATCATGTTAAAATTTTCAAAAACCACCTGTGCTGATACTTCTTAGGTTTCTTCGGCAGTGTCATTTGCAGAGTGGATATCTATGCCTTAAATGAATGATGGGAATGCTGCATCATTGAAGAAATATTCAAACATTTCAGTGTGCAATGAGAGTGAACACTAGCCTTTTGTTAGGAACATAGTGAATATTCAAGATGGCAGCATGAGGCCTGTAGGAATTACATCTTTATTTAGTAGCAGCTCATTTTTAAAAAGATGTCAAATATCAATCATTTTTTCTAGAGGACTTTGGGCTTGATCAAGTCATGTAGCTGAAAAAAAATCTTCTTAAAACAAAAGCAAAACTAAACTAAACAAACAAACAAAAAACCAGATGCATTTAGTGTGTTTGTCCATGTGTAACTGTGTGTGTGTGCGCGCGCATGTGTGTGTATGTGTGTGTGTGTGTGTGTGTGTGTGTGTGTGTGCATTCCATAGCAAGCTTGTGAAGGTCAGAGGATAACTATGGGAGTCAGTTCTATCCTCCTTCATGTGGATCCAATGAATTAAACTCAGGTCAACAGGTTAGGTTGCAAATGCCTTTATCAACTGTGTTCTTTTGCCAGGGTCTTTTGCTTTTCATTTGTTTGTTTTGTTTTGTTTTAGAACGAAGTTTTAATGAAGAAAAATATATGATTTTCTGGGTATTTTAAGTGTTTCAGATAAAAGGAGAAGAGGAAATTCTGTGTTTGAGTGTTCAGATATATCACAAAATATTCCCCTTGGCTCTCTCAGATTCCCATGATCGCAAGACTGAGGGTATGCCTCAAAACATACCACTGCACTGAGAATATCCTAAAAGATAGGAGCTGTGTTATATAAGTATCTTTATCTGTGATTATCCTTTTATGGTCTGTCAAATGCCATAAAATAGTGTGTGCTTCTTCAGACATGAATAAGATGAATGGTAATAAGGTTTCTTTAAAATTACAGCTTTTCAATTTGACCTAAGAAATGTAGGCATATGATCCATTTTGTTCTTTTGAATTAAAAACTATGGTAGGATTGGAAATCTCAGTTATTGCTCAGCTATGTTGCTGCCAAGGGAGGGTATTCCAAAGCCTTGTCAAAGCATCATTTCAGGATGTAAACATTTCCCATTCATTAGGGATATCTGGTCAAACTTTGGATTTAATATTTGCTATCAAATTATTCCAAAATGGAGTTGGGGTGTGTGGTGGTTTGAAAGAAAATGGCCACCAAAGGGAGTGGCACTCTAAGGAATTGTGGCTTTGTTGGATTAGGTATGGCCTTGTTGGAGGAAGTGTCTCACTGTAGAGGTGAGCTTTGAGGTCTCGCATATGCTCAAGATACCACCCAGTGTTTCAGTTCACTTCCTGTTGCCTGAAAGATATAGAATTCTTCGGCACCCTGTGTACCTGCTTGCCACCATACTCCCAGTCACCACGCTCCCTGCCATGATGATAACGGACTAAACCTCTAAAACTCTAAGCTTCCATCACAATTAAACATTTTCCTTTATAAGAGTGGTCAGGGTCATGGTGTCTCTCACAGCAATAGAAACCCTAGCTAAGACAGAGTGTTTCAGTCTTAACTGAGCTGTTATGATTTTCAAATCCTTCCTAAAAAGGCAACTAGAACCTCAGCCGCTGTTCCCCCAAGAGAGTAGACTCCACTCCTCTCCACCAATGTGGCACTGGAGTTTGTGTTTTAATGAGAACGAAATAAAAATTAGTACTGTCACTAAATTTAAGATAAAAATTACTAAACATATTTTTAGATTACTAAATCATATTTTAAATATGATTGACAACCTTATAACAAGTGAGTATCTGTGAATTCATTATAACACATCACTGGCTAGATACAGTTTTTCTCATGGTCTTTATTTTTACTTTGATTTTCCATTGAAACACATTTAGGCTGAGATAAAAATAATAAGCTGAAACAAGACAGATTCATGACTTAGAGAATACACAAAATGGGTTTACTTACTAGGAAGCTCTGGTGGAGGTGTAGGAACCAAAGTTGGTTCTGGATAAGGACTCTCACTACACATTCCATTTGTTAGGTTTATGTCATCCAGACCTATTGTACTAAAACCTGGGTTTCTAAATGCATTGAATACAACCTGAAATTCAGAGAGGCATCTATTATTATTCCACTCTAATAATTTCTGTCTTGGCTCTTCTTATGTCTTAATAACTCAATGGAACCAGTATTGCCAATTATACAATGCATAATGAAATACTCCACATTGAAATATTGATAAAGCATACTGTTTAAGTTCTTTTGAGAATCTCAACCTTTATCTTACATATAAATCTTAGCAAAAATATTCATGCATGTCTTCTTTCTGAGTTAGATTATAGTCTTATGATTTATTTATCTCTCTTCTCCTGATTTTATCATACTCTGTTTTACTTAGTAAAGCCTATACATAATTTGGATGCAGAGAGAAACCTCCTGCCAATTATATTAAAATTCCAAATGTTTGTTTTCCCACATACTAGATACGAGTACTGAAGAGCAGACACTCTGATTATATCATTTAAATAGGGAAAAGGGAACACGAAGAAATGAACAGCATAACATGAACATTCAGGATCAACCAGTACTGGTCCTAGTTCACTTAGGGTTCTGAATTAGCATTCTTAGGAAGGTGCTAATCATAAGACGAACAACCAGTCTTGGTCACAGCTCCTGGATTTATAAATACCACAGTAGGTTCTCAGATATTGTGACTGTTTTCAACTGTACTTCCTTGGACCTATCTTCAATAACATAAGAATGAGACAAACATAATACTTGCTGTGTGGTATTTGCTATCTGAGCCACATAATACACATTGTCTTATTTGATTTTTTTTTAACAGAGAGTGTATTCCTCAATTCATTATTTTTCCATTAATTCTGTAGGTCTCATACCAGATATATTCCAATAAGTGTGAATTATTCCTATTCCAGAGGAGAAAAAAAATTTAAGGAGATAACAACAAGTTGTTCACAACTTCTCAATACAACGGCATAATAAAAATGTTAAGTTTGTATTCTCCAACAGATGACAGTATCCTCTAAGCCCTACTGTATGACTGAAATTCCAAATAGCCCTGATCCTCATGATGACCATGGTATGTCCTATACCATCTTACCTATGAATATTTGTGAATCAATAATAGTAACAGAACAACTTTCTGTGCGGCAATTTCCTCCATCCTTCAAGGAAACTCCTTGAAAGTCAGGATACTCTAAAGGAAGTTAAAACTTTCCATTCTGCAGGGAGATTCTTTTAAACTCGGGAAGCAGATCTATCACTTACTAGATTTGAGAGTTTGCTCAAACAGATGGGGTTAACTGGGTCTGCCCTCCCCAAGATTTTCTGTTTTAAGAACTGTTGAGAGATACTCTTGGACAGGCTGAACTACCTGGATAGGCTGGGGAAAGCTGATCTGATCAGAAAAGGCACTCTCCAACCTCTGAAGTGTTTCAAGTTTCCAGCTTTGGTGACCCATCATCTACACCAAGGTGGTGCAGCTGTCTTTGAGGAATTTCTGCTCCTGTAAGTAACCCCCACACCCACACTTCTGTAAATAATCTTCGTAGAACTCATTGGCTCACAAATTTGGACTTTGTTGGTATCCTTACTTTGGCTTGCCTATGGTTCACTATCTGGGGAGAGTAGATGTTGGTGCGTATGTCACCAGAATTAGTGTCACACAATATAATTATAACAATACACTGTAATAAAATTTGTGCGATAGGAATTATTAATTTACATTCAAAGCTTTAGGACCGTGATTAACAAAACCATGGAAGCTAATCATGAATGAAGTATCATCATGTGCATTTGCGACGTGGCAGTATCTTTTTTCTTGTAAAACTAAGACCAAACATACTGTACCGGACTATTACAGGGTTAGAAAAAAAACCTCAATGGCCAGAACTGCCTGCAGAAATGCTGATTTTCTCATTTTATTCATCTATTTGTCTCTGTTTGATATTCTATTTTTTCTTTATTGAATTATCAGAGAACAAACAAAATTAATGAAAAAAATTCAGAGTGAAGACTAGAGTATGAAAAAGTAAAGGGAAGGGTGGCAGGAAGAAGGCAGATGAGGGTCACTGATTATGGCTCTATGTCATAGGGGAGGATCTACGCCTTTAGTGATGACATTGTTCAAATATACATCTTCTAAAAGTGATACTAACTTGTATCAAATTATTCAATTAAAACATTGTTAATTTGGTCAAGCTAATAGGGCACATTATCCTATATTTTAATAGCAGCAACCCTTAGGAAATAAAGGCATTAAATTCTTATCTGGAAAAATTAATTCAACTTAATGCAGAATAAATGATCAGAGACTTCCCAATGATATGGCTCATAAAATTCCTTTCTAAAGGAAATCTACCGAGATTAAGTCATAGTGGGGTTGGCTGGTGGATATTGATGGACATGGATGTTTAACTATGAAATGATAATTATCTGGAATGTGTAGAGCTGAACAAGATAAGGCAGACAAATAGAAGAAGGTATTGATGAAGGGAGCTGAAGCTGCCTTCTTTTCTAAGGGTTTTAGAATGTTAATATCATAAGTGATTCCTCAAAACTAAAAGAAAAAATAAGGTAGATTTGAAAAGAAGAGAAAGTTACTAGGTTTTCTCCAGAAACTACTTTACTATATCATTGTAAAGTATACTCACACATTATAAAAATACACATAGAAGTTACAAAGTATTTTTGCAAACCTTAAATTTCCCTGTTTCATTAAATGTAACTTGGCCATAATTCCAATTCCTCCCATAATTTCCTGTTCTTTGAAAAACTGTCTTGTCTGTGCTTTCATCACTGCTGATTTGGATGCTTAAGTTGTAGACATTTTCACAACACATGTAATACCTGGAAATAGGAAAAGATGTTTAGCTTTTAACACATTGAATAAATTCATTTAGTTCTTTCTGCAGATTTTCTTATATTTAATTATATATATTTTTTTTTCCTTTGGGTGTTTCTGGGCAAGAGGGTCAGGGGGCCACCAATACTTTGCTGTTCTATCAATTGTAAAAAAAAAAAAAAAAAAAAAAAAAAAAAAAAAAAAAAAAAAAAAAAANAAAAAAAAAAAAAAAAAAAAAAAAAAACAATAATGCAGGCATTAAAACTTTAGCTATCTGATTTGAGGCTGGTTCCCTAACAAAACTGTTGCTAGCCCCTCACAAAGATAGCATTTCAGTATATCCAACCAGAAGTCAAGGACCTGATTGGAAACATACCAGAAATGAAGGCAGGCAGGCTCCGAAGCGAGCTCTAAAGAGAGGCTCAAAAGCCCCACTCTTTCGTTTCTCCAGCATCGTTCCGTTGGTGTAGAAATGTAAAATCCTGTAAAGCCAACCAAGAAATTTTACTTGCTTAAAGCGGGTAACCATTTAAGATGAAGCTTTATGACATGTAGTTTTCACATTGGATGAGGTATCAGAATAGAGTCTGGAGTGGTTGAGTCTGCCATAATAAATTGTTTAGGAAAATCACTCAACTTTGGATTTCTTACTTTAATTCTAATTTTCCATACATCTAGAAAAACTCATAGCTTGACAGGTAACCAGCACATGGTTGATTGTATTTAGATATTCTGTTTGGTTAACTAACAGGATACACAATTATTAAAGCATACATTTGATGACAAGGCTAAACGTTCCAAAGAACACTGGTTTTATATCCCATTGACTACACTGCATATCTTTACATAAGAAGGTGCCTGATTTTATAAGGGTTTTTCATATTTCTGTATTCATTTGAATGATAACTAATCAGATCACTGTGGAGCAGGCAGCATACTAATCCATATAAAAGCTTTTGAAATAGCACAAGATACTGCATAAGTGCTTTCTGGTCTAGAATTCATTATTCAAGCCAATGACTTGAGTCATTTCTAGTCTGTGAAGTACAGTTAGGTAAGAATATCTTAACATTCTCTTAGGGGAATTTACTTCATTCTTAGTTCGAAACTCATATATTAAGACAGAAGCAGGAATTACCCAGCAAAGCATGCTACAAAGCAAATGAAATATTAGACTAATAGAATTGGATTGTTATGCATTTTTTATGAAATGCCCAAATGTGTTTGCTTGAAATCAACATCTTCTCTCCTGTGCCTTTCAACAGAAAAATATAGGCAATGTTGTATATAAAATGCAATCTCATTCATTTGTAATATGCAGAGTAAGAATAAGATATGAAGAAAAGACATTCAAGTAAAAATGTTTATAAACACATACTTAGACCAATGAGGCAAAAATTATCTGGAATAAATGAGTGTTCTATCAAGGTGAGATAGTGCTAAAAGACTTATAAAAGTAATATATGCACATGCATTGCATTCGTATTACAAAATGCATGAATGTGTTTCACAGTTTATACTAGTAACAGACTACTCACATTTTATTTATGCTAAAATATTTCATGAATATTTTAGCTTTGTCTGGTCTCATATAGATGAAGCTATGTAAAAGGTCAGCTTCAGATTCATCACACAAGTCCCAGCCCCTGCTCTCTATGAGCTCCCAAATAAACCCAGTCGGAATTCATCTTGCTGTTAGTTGCTTAGAGCATGATAAGAAAGAAGTACTGAAGTGGTCTAAGTGCTTGAAAACTTTTGAGTTAGCTGTTAATTGTGTGGTAAAAGCAACATCGTGCTGCTATGTCTGTTCTGGCATGTTCACCCAACACAATCCATTTACTAGTTATAATTTGAAATGTGCTAAGTATCTTATTCATTCATTTAGCGGTAATATATTTAGATTTGATTGTATAATTAATATGACTTTTTATTAACTAAATTATTGACTTTACATCCTTCTCCCTCTCTCTTTTTCTCCCACTCTCTCACACCTTCTCTCCTCTGCCTGCCCCTCAATCCAAGCCTCTTCTGTAATCATGCAGAAAGGGGCAGCCCCCCATGGGTTTCAGCAGAGCATGGCTTATCAACCAGTACCTCAATTGATAATTGATCGAGGAGGGCACAGCCTACTATGGTACTACCCCTGGGC